GTCTGTCTGTCTGTCCGCACGATAACTCGAAAACGAGTTGAGCTAGCGTCCTGGGATTTTCAGGGTCGTTTTGTACCATAAAAAGACAGGTCGAGTTCGAAGATGAGCATTCTAGCTCAAAAACTGGATTTTTAAAAAATCAAAAACAACAGGTCCCAAAAATGACGTTTTTTAAAAATATTTTTTTTATGGTTTTCTAAGGGGTAACCCATCAAAGTAGAGCCCTACGGGCGAAAATTTCGTCCGTTTTGCTCTAGCTCAAACCGTTGAGGCGCTAGAGGGTATTTTTGACGAAAATAAGCGAAAAAATGTGCAAGCATGCATGCTTAGTCGAGGTGATAGGCCGTCAACTGGCCGTAGGCCCGTACGTTTGTGTACATTTTTCCACTACCCGACTCGGGTGTCAGCGCCGCAGGCCAAGGTAGATGTATGCCAGGGGCGTCGCTGCGTAACTGTGTTTCGTGAGGTATCGCGAAGCCTGTTACGCGAGACGTGGTCTGGCGTACATCTACCTTGTTTATTTAGCTTGTGGTTAAAGTTACTCTTAAAAAATATCTGCTGTGTTGACAGTGCACCGTTGAAATGTACCCCCCTCCAAGGCCCCAGCTTCCTTCACTCACCCTGACGATGTCGGTGGCCGCGTAGAAGTTCTCCTCCTGGGGCAGGGCTGGCTGCGGCCCCAGGGCCTTGAACAGCGTCGAGCACTTGTCCGTCTTGCCGTTGGGGCGCTGAGAGGACATCGTTATGCTGTTGTACGGGCCGTACTTGGCATCGTCCGCGATCGTCGACAAATCTGCGGGGAGAAGACGAGGTAAATTTAATAAAAGAGAGAGAAAGGTAGAGTGTACTGTAAGCAGATTAACACTCGCGGGCGGTTGGCTTGGCTCGGGCTCGGGACCGAAGCGAGCGTCGATTCGACGCTCACTCGACACTCGACCCCCTATCCCGGCCGGCCTCCGGGTCTTGGAGGTCTTGGAGTTAAGATAACAGCAGCTCCACCCGTCCGCGTCCTCCTCGGATCTCCGCCCCACGGCCTCTTGAGCCTCTAATGACGGCCTCGACCGGCCTCGGCCCACCTTCCCGAGGGCCACCCGCCCGTCCCACCGCTGACCTGTGAGCCGATCGCACGGACCTCAGCAGCTGGGGGGGCCGCCTGGTCCGGCCCGCTACGGCCTGCTAGCCTGGCCCTTCCTGATAATCTGATCCCTTCGCGCTGGCCCTGCCGGAGCCCTGCGCCGCTCTGCGCAGGGCCCGAGAGTCGAGGAGCTACGCCCTCTTCTTGGCCTAGTCGGTCGTGAAGGATATCCTTTCCTTACTCTCCCACCGTGACTGACCCCGCGCTGTCTACTCAAGACACTTAGACGCCCCCCCCCCCTCCACTTTTCCTCCTCCACCCTCCACCATCCTCTAACTCGCTGGATAAAAAAAACACACACACGCTCGTCCAGCTCGAAAGATAACCCAACCCTACAACACATATTTACCCGTGTCCGCGCTCTTGGACGTGGCGTCCTTCTTGAGCAGCCCGAAGTAGTCCGTCTTCTTGTGCAGCAGCTTGTAGGGCTCGTGGTAGGCGGACGAGTTCTCCGAGTCGCTCTCCTCGCCGAGCACCACCTGCCCGTACGCGCCCAGGCCGGCGCTCGTCTTCTTGTCCAGGGTGTAGTCGCCGTTGGCCAGCGTGCCGTTCTTGCTCTTGACCGACGACGTTAGGCAGGTCCTTCGGAAAACAACGGGGAGTGTGAGCCAATTGGTTCGCGCACCATAAAGAGCGCCTCCCAAGGGGTAATTCACTCGGAAAAATCAGTGACGCTCCAAAAACACCAGAAAAAGGTCAGAAAAAAATCTAGAGAAAATCAGGAAAACGAAAAAATTAAAAAAAATGATAATAAAAAAAATCAAAAAGAATAAGAAATACAAGAAAAAATCACAAGAAAAGCAAGAAAAAGTCACTAGAAAATCAAGAAAAAATCACAAGAAAATCAAGAAAAAAGTTAACAAAGTCAAGAGAAAAAACTATAAAAAAAGAAGAAAATCTGTGCAAGAGACGCTTGAATTTGTAGCAAAGTACCCCACGGCATCCCCTCCGGTCTCCTCACCTGTTGAACACCTGGCCGTTGGTGCCGATGACGGGCGTGAGCTTGAGGTCCTTCATGGACACGGCCTGCCCTTTGCCCTGGCCGCACATGAGGGCCGTGTGCTTGTGCAGCAGCGACACCTTCTGGCGGCCGCGGCGCCACAGCAGCAGGAACATGACGCCGCCCACCACCACCGACAGCACCAGCGCGCCGAAGATGAGGCCAAAGTACTGCGCCTGGTCCGAGGCCGCCGTCGTCGCTGAGGAGGAAGCGAACCGATGAGAGACGTTGTCAACACGTTTGCCACCGGAAAATAATTTTGAAACGCCGCCAGGCCTCAAGCGACAACATCACTCCATCGCGTTTCACAAAAAGGTTTATGTAGAAAAATTAACAACAAAAGCAATCCGTATTGTGGTGATTTTTAGACAGTCTCAAAGACTGTCTCTACCAGAAGGAGAAAACGTATGTTTCTTCTAATGGACTCTCACCTGGCGTCACGGCGCTCTTGACGTGCGGCCCCTGCGTGGCAGTGGCCGTCGCCGCGTCTCCAGCGCCGCCCGGCCGCAGCATCCGCTCCAGCGACTCGTCCGTCAGGTTGCCCTGGAGCGCCACTGGAGAAGACAAAACATAAAAGAGTGTCGTGAGCACTCGACTGAATGACGCAAAGTCTGATCCGTGCCGGCCGGCGCAGACGTCGGACTCGGGAGCCACGACGATCTCTTTATACACAGTAAATATAAATAGCACTTATCATAACGTTCGTTTTAGCCGTTTTAGCCAACAACATTTACGACTGCGTTAGTTGACCGATGCATACACAACCAATAAATCACGCAACTTTGAAATGTGAAATTAGTAAGTTATTTACAGCTTGATTTACCGCGGAAGGGGTTTTGGGTTGGGCGCATATGTCAGTACACAAGTGATGATCGGGCTCATTTTTTCACACATCGGAGTCTGGACGACAGGGGCGGACGCACGGAGGGCAAGAGGAGGAAAACGCGCGATCCGCGCTCGACGCAAGGACATTCGGCGTTTGATCCTACAGCGAATGGAACGCCCTTATATGAAAAGCAGGGGGTTCTGAATGCCACCTCGAGTCCACGCTCTATTCCCCGAAACACTCCAGAGAGGTGGAGAGGCGAGTGGCAGCGCGCGCGCGCGCGCGTATGTGTGTGTGTGTGTGTGAGCGCAGAGAGAGAGA